GCTGCTTGCTGAGGCGGCAGCAGCATACATCGCACGCGCGCTACTCAGCAGTGGGGCATTGCGGCGCGCCCCGTCACATGGCGGGGAGCCCGAGCTTCAGAAGAGCGTCACACCTCACCCAGGGACACAGCGCCCATAAACAGCACAGCGTGCGGTCCCAAGGCCACGCTCCTGCAGTGGGGCCGGGCCACCCCTCGCCGGACCATCTCTCCACCTGGCAATGCATCGGGTGGGTGGTGCCCAAAGTCAATCCAGTAGTTGTCATTCCCCATCCTCTGGCACCACTGGGACCCCTCCGCACCCCAAGGCAGGCCAGCCTGGCTGAGAAGGCAGCCCGGGAGGCTCCCTTTTCACCTGACACTGTAAACAGCCGTCCTGTGCCAACTACACTTTGCACCTACTTCCAGCCTGTATTTGACTCCAGAAACACTGTAAGAAACCAAGGCACAGTGCGAGAGGCCATTTAGAGCACTCTCTATAGACAAACCTTAAACTACCTTAGGGACTGAAAAATCACACATATGCCCACGATACATAAAAATAAATAAAAAATAAAAAGTAAATTAAAATCATTCCTCTGCATGCCTCTATAGGGATGTACTTTTAAAAATGAAAACAAAGCTCCCTTTTGCCAATTACAGTTACTAACCTGTTCCTTACAGGAGGCTCTGATCCAATGGTCATATTCCCAATGGCTAGCCCTGAGAGATGGAAGCAGCAGCGGAGACCAGAAACTGGCCTGGGCGGCTCAGCGGCTGCTGTGACTGTCCCTTCAGCCTCGGTCACATGCCCGTTCTAAGAAATCAAAAATGTCCCACCTCCGAATGCCAGCCTTCTCATACGAGGGGCCGTCACAGTCCACTTTCAACAAGTGACAGAGTTAAAAGACCAAAAGCTATGAAATCTCAAAGTGAAATCTTTCCATCCTGCATGGCCCAACATGGCCAACTGGTTTACCCTGTAGAAATTAATACAGAGAGTGCCCCCGGGAAAAACCCTTTCATGTACAGAGCAGAATTTAACAGCCAAGTAATTAAACACAGAAAGTACGGGCTTATAATTAAAATGCTGACAAACCTGAACCAGAGCGGCACAAGTAGGACGGCTATAATATTTTTACAACTCCCTTTTATACATAATGCATGATCCTTCTGCTCAAGTTTCTCTATGTTCTCTGCCTGTGAAATAATTTACATTAATAAATAATTTATTACCATAACTCCTAAAGTAATTATGGGTTTCCATGCAATTTTTTTTAGCATATGAATTGTTTTGTTCTCTGTTCATTGACTTGTATTTACACGACTTTTCCTAGTGGCCCTTCTGCAATAATTGGTATCGCATTTACCTCCTCACATATTATTTGATTTCCAGGTCTCTCCTCGCCTGAGCCGTGAGGAAAATGGAATGTGTAGTGTCCATTGTCCCTGCGATACAGAACTCATTTAATGGGTGCAATTAGCCAAGGGTGGTGAGCGGAGCGTGCTCTCACCCCACTTGCCCAGCTTCACCAAAAAAGATTAAACTGACACACGTGTGCCACTGGGTCAGCGCAAAGAATGGTCACGCAGGGCGAGTGACTGTTGACCTGGGAGCGGGGAGCCCCTGCCTCTCCCAGCACAGAGCGCTTCTGTCAGGTGCCGCCAAGCCCCTTTCCCTGCCCGCTAGAGATCATGGCCAGCAGCAAGCGCCGGCCCGCCTGCCAGGCCAGCTGACTGGGGGCGGGCCACGGCCCTGAAGCTGCCACCTGACCGAGGCTTCCCGTGTTAAGTAACACAGGAACCAGCCATGTACGTGGCCCTTCCCCAGAGAAGCCGCTTGCAGAGGAAATCACCGCTCCACACAGAAAGCGTTCTCGGGATGCTATGGGAGGGGAGAAAGGAAACCAAGAGGCAAACACTGTCTCTGCTTCAAAGAGCCCTTCAGGGACCGGGCTGGGCTCACAACCTAATAAGGAGTGCTGGGCCCTGGTGCGGAGCAGGCCGGGCGGTGGCCAGGCCGTGGCTGGGCCCCACTGTGCCCTGCTTCTGCCATTCACCCCTCGTCCTGGCTTTGTTCTCTCCCCCACTCTGGGAAGGCATAAAACTGCTTCTTTCTATCAAGTTCCCGAACACACCGCTGAGGGTGTGGGGGGGGGCGGGGGGGGGGGTGGAGACAACGGTGGGGAGGAGCCCATTCAGCTCACGATAACAAAAAGTACTTAAAGAGAACACATTGTGGTGAGCCATTGATGACATGAGTAAGGCACTTTATCTAAGTGGGCGTAGGGGAGGCCGGGCTCCTGGAAAGGGTGGCTTTTTAAGAGGAAGCAAAGAGGCCGCTACACTCCCCACTCCAATGCGCTTGCCTGGATTTTCTTCAGAATGCTCAGGGAACTCAAACTTGCCCTGGCTTCCAGCTAGGACCCTTGCAATGGGCACTTGGGAGGGAAATGCCCTGAGTCACGGGGCCAACCTGTCCCCAGCAATCACGGGAGAATTCCACCAATCGGGGCCAGAACATGAGTTCTTTATCTCCGGGAGACAGACGGGGGTTGGTGATTATAGTAATGGGACATTTTGTCTTGGCTGAGTATCGCCCAGTCCTGGAAAGGCTCAAAAGCCTCTTGAAAAGTCCAGCTAGACCCACCCAGGGCTGTTAAAAAGCAGGCATGCGGAAGGTGAGACCTCACTGCCTCAGACGCCCTCCCATTCCCAGTGCGGGTGGGGCCACACCTCGATGTGATGCGCAGGGTAAAATGGCCAGAGCGGTCCCCAGAGCTTCCACCAGCACAAAGGCCTGGGAAGGTGCCCAGGAAGGGGATGCGGGTGGGAGGGACTGAGCTGGTGCCTTCTGTGTGCTGCTGTCTCTTTAAATCCTACCAGGAACTACGTTCTGCAAGAGGAGGAGACTGGGGTTCAGGAAGGCTGATCTGCCCTCAGCTCTGAGGACCCCAATCCACAGGGAATTCTGTTTCTCACTCTCTTGGCTCCACTAGACAGAAACCCTCTTGAGCACAGCGGCTGACTTTCTCTCTGGGCCAAGTGCCCGACAACATAGTAGAACCTCAATAAACACCTATGGGAACAACCCGCTGAAATGAACCCTGGGGAATGAAAAGCATACGTCAGATGGGCCAGGGTCTCCCCAAATCAAGGAGGGGCTGGCCAACAGAAGAGAACAGCCAAGGAGGCAGACGACAGGGCTCGGCAGACCCCCACTGGGCCGCTCCCCTGCTCCCTGGCTGTGCCCTGGGGCCAGCGTACATCAGGCAGGGACGGCCTTGAAACGAAGCCTGGCGCCTCCACCACCAGGGTATGGAGCTGAAGTCCAGGTTGGCCTCAGGAGCTGAGCATGCCCAGGGGCCTCCCTCTGCTTCCTGGCGGGACAAAGGCAGGCAGTCTCACCACCACGAAACCGAGCCCAGCCCGTGAAGAAGGCAATGAGGCAAGCTTCTGAGCCACGTGGCTAAGTCGCTGAGGGTTTGCTGAAAGCCGTTAACCACCAGAGGTGCTCAATCAAGCCCCATGAGGGGACAGGCTTCAGAATTGTGTCACTGTGGGGGAACCAAGGCCAGGTGATCTCCCTATTTCCACGTCCTCTAGGGGACAGAATCAAGAGGACCACCTGGGGCTCTCCCACCAAGCTGTGGCTTGGGACTAAGAAGCAAACCATCTTTGTTCTCCCCCAACCTGGGCCCAACTCTGCCAAGGCAGCTTGGTGGGGAGTTGCCTCACGAGGTCTTGGTGTCCCCCTATGCGAATGGGGCGGCCCCAGTGGCCCCACAGCAGAGTTGCTGCGGCGTCCCAGAGACCGAGTCGTGAGGAAGGAGCCTGGTGCTCACTACGACACACCCAGCACCCCTCCACCCTCACCACCCCGTCTACTGGACAGAGTCTCAAGAAGACAAAGAAAACACTGCGCACAGAGTCAAAGGCTGAGAAAAGAGGCAGGAAGACCTGACAGTCCTATGAAGACAGGCCTGGGATCGGAAGACCTGCAGCGGTCACCCACCACGGGAGCTTGGCTGCTGCCTCGGTCGGTGCAAACACTCCAGAAACTCATGCAGCAGGGTGTCCCCACGGTGGGCAGGAGCCATGGGGAGACAGTGGAAGGAGAGGTGGTGCCCGATCATCTGGAGCTCAGAAAAATCAACATAATCAATACAGTCATCTCAGCCGCCCCCTTAGGAGAAAAAGAGTAATTCACACCTGCATGGGCACTGGAGACTGAGACAACCTTTCCAGGAAGCATGTCAACAATATGAAGCAAGAGCCTTCAAAATGTCCCTGCCCCCGGCCTCTCTAAGCCACTCCTGGGAACTCCTAAGGAATAACCCAGAAGGCCGACAAAAGACAAAGACTTAGACGCGTAGTCACTGTTCATCACAATGGCAAACAGAATACAGCCATTCCACCCAACAAACAAAAGACAGTGAAATCGGTCAGCACCCGTTGATACACAGTGTGTTACTACACACTCATTAAACCAAACGGAGGGGCCAACGCTACTGTGCTTGGGAAAATGGTAGTAAGGACCATTAAGTGAAACCAGAAGAAAAAAAGTTTTTTGTATATAATTTTATACAATCGCTCATTCACTGTGGACTTGGTCGTGTAAGAAATTCAAAGAACATTAAAAATACACCAAAATATTAACAGGCATTCTCACCGGGTACTGGGGCTAGAAGAGATTTTTATTTTATACTTTACACTATGGTACGTCGTCCCAATGTATCAAAGTGAACATGATTACCTTAATAACCAGACAGAAACTCTCAACGTTATGGTTGGAGATGACATCTGTAAGCCACACCCCAGGGCCCACCGGCTCCCTGAGCCCCACAGCCCGGGTGCCACTCCGGCACGGCCAGGCCCGAGACTGCTCAAGCCCAGAGAAGAGACCCCACGGCTGCTGTGTGTGCCTGTGTCCAGAAAGGGCTTCCAGCATCTCACCTGGGGGACTCAGGCCCTGGTGGAAGGACCAGAGAAGGACTCTCCACAGCCACCTTGGTTACTCACCCATAATTCCACAAGAGAAAAGTGTCGGTCCTTGACTCATCTTCTTTGGCGTGTGCTGAAAACAACCAGAAAAGCTATTCACTCTTCAAGTCATAAGAAGCACGTTTGTACATGACCCTGCACTGATCCCTCACTAAAGTCACAATTAAAGGGGTAACTGCCTTCTGCCAACGTCAGATTAGGGAAAGGAGAAGAAAGCATTCTAGGAGGCAACACTGCCCATAATTAGACCTGGGCTCCCCGTCCAAAGTCTCCAGTGAGTTATGGAGTCCATCAAGTTAATGGCTTCAAAACACACACAAGAAAGCCCCACGACTTCTGACACTTGGGGATTTTTCCATGTGAGTGTTGGGGAGGAGGGCGCGGGAGGAGGTGTGATGTACACAGTCACCGAGCTGGGCTGTAGAGAGGCCGCCCCACAGCGCAGGCTGGGAGAAGAGGGGGCCTCTTGGTGACAGGAGGAGCCCCCAGGGAGAAGCAGAGGCCCGTTCGCCACCCCAGCTCCCTCCCTCCCTGGAGACACCAGGAGAACAGCAATTTATCCTCTCCACAGAAGCACCAGTTAGAGCGCAAGCGGGGGGCCCTGCACCGTGCAAAGCTCCTTCGCCGCTACGAGGAGGCCCCCCAGGCACACTCCCTGAACTGAAACAGAAACTCAGAGGTTATGTCTGGTCGCAGCAGAGAGCTAGGGTTTTGAACTCCTTGGCACCATATTACAACGGCTCCCCTTCCCACCATAAGCATCCCATGCCTCCCCTCAAGGCCCACACCTAGCCTCACAAAATGCTACGGCCACTGGGAGAGGGACAGGCCAGTGAGGCCCTAGGCCCCAAGACCAGGCACTGCTCCATGGCTACACGGTAACCTGAGCACAGAGAACATTCCGGTCTCCCCTGCGCTAGTTGAGGCATGGGTCAGGCGACCTGTTCTGACCTCTAGTGAGGCGGAGAAGGTGCCCACTGGGGCTCTAGGAAGAAAGGTCTGCCTCGAGTGTTCCTACGACTCATTCCCTCCTTCCTTCCTTCGCCCACTCCTAAGTACTGGGAATTATTCACATGCAGGCTACACCACGGCTTGAGCCCATGATGGGGGAAGAAGCTCTCTGTCCCAGAGGAGTCAGCCTGTCCAAGAGAACTCCGATTTCTGAGAGGAGCCCCAAATACCAGAGACACGCAGGCATCCTGAGAAGTGGGTCGGAACCCAGGCCCTGGAGCTTTGGGGCCTGGAAAGAGGAGGGCAGAGGTGACTAGGAACGCCTGGCCCTCCCAGATAAAAGGGTGGCAAGTGCCTGCCCCCAGATCCCCGATTCAGAGACCTTTGCTCTCGGTCAGCCATGTGCTCACCAGCCTCGTTGCTAAGGGTCCATCCTGCCCAGCCTGGGACACAGAGGTGAAGGAGGCCTGCCTGGGCCCTCAGGAAGCTCACAGTTCATGGAGGACACAGTCCCACAAACCATTACACTACAGGGAGTGTGGGACCAGAGAGGAGAGGGCCCAGGCCGGGGTGCTGGGGTGCGAGGGGTCAGCCCTGGCTTCCTCTCAAGGACCAGAAAACGTCTACAAGCAACACGGCGCCGGGGCGGGCCTGCTCTGGTGCCCTCCTCAGCTTCAAATACGCGTTATGTTTGCAAGACAGGCTGTCCTCCCGGACTGAACCATCCCATTCACAGTCATCCGGGGGATTATCAGTAAAAAGGGGAAGACGGCTGTGTCTGCCTCCCTCCCAAATGACGTGGTTGACGCAGCGGGATCCGCACAGAAGGCCCACAGCCAAGCCACCGAATGGAGAAAGGGTGACAATGACTTGAGAGCCTGCCTCCATGCCACACAGCCCCAAACAACCAAGCACGCAGCCCGCGGACGCCAGGCAGGCTCTGCTTCCAGGGGGACGGTGCAGAGTCATGAGTCGGGCTCTGCCTAGGCCAGGGTCCTTGGCGGCCAAGGGAGACGACTCTGACTGCTGGAGCACCTTGGTGCCAAGCAAATACCCGCTGGGGAACCAGAGTCCCCGGCCCACACCTGGGTTGGGGGGCAGGTGGCAAAGTGAGCCAAGGCCGGTGGCCCACAGAAACCCAAACCCAGATCGGGCCGGGGACAGCAGAAGACAGCGAGGAGCCCGGAGCCGCCTGTCTGCAGCGCTGGCACGCAGGCCCACCGAGGAGGGCTTGGGGTTTACAGACAATAGGAAGCGAGCCAGGGAACCAGCCCGCTGACCTGTCCTTCCACAAAGCCGGTGTGCTCCAGACAGTGGGGCAAGGCGGGGCCCTCCAGATCCGGGCCCTCCCAGGGACTGCGGACACCTGTGTGGGCACCAGAGAGGCTGGGGTCTGGGCCTATAGAGCGGAGTACCGGGCCGAGCCACAGGGGCTCCCAGGCTCTCCTGGCTCATGCATTCGTTCACTTAGCAAGGATCAGGCCCCGTTGGCTGCAGACCATTCATTCCCCAGGCTGGAGGACACACACTTGGAATGGGAGTGCTTCTCACTGCCCCCGAAGCCCTGCTCTGAGCCACCACCCTCCACGGGGAGACCAAACCAGCCTCCTAGCTGGTCCGAGGGCCTGTGCCCTGGGCCCACCCTCCATTCTCCACCCAGAACCCAGAGGCCAGCTGAAGTTGCTCTTCTGCTCCCATGACGTCCCACAGCCACCAGAAGAGAACCCGGCCACCCCTCTCCCCACAGCCACCCAGCCCGTGAGAGCCAAGCCTGGGCACAGGAGACATGTGCGGTGCTACCACCTCAGGTCTCTCCATGACAGGCTCCTCACCAGGCCACCCTCCCTGACCATCCCAGCCAAAGGGCACCCTCCCCACGCACACTCTCTTCTTAGAGCACCGCCTGCGTCTGTTCCTTTGCTTCTGTGCTTATTATGCCCTGAGAATGAAGCTTCTTAAGGCTGCCATCTTGTCCCAGCACAGACTAGGCACCATGTGACTATCTGGTGACCGAGAGCAATGGCCACCTGTCTGCCCATACTTATCTTGCTCCTGCCGCCACTCACCCAACAAATGCAGGGCCAATGGAAACAGACTTTCACTGGGCAAAACTTGCCACCTCCCCAAATCGATGGGCTCAGGCCAAATCAAAACTTGGTGGAGAAGGGGAGAGAGCACCCGCCGAACAGCTGGGGAGTAAGAGGACAGCGATCACTCGCACTCAGATCTCACGACGGGAAGGAACACCTCCACGTCCCCTGTTCTCAGTGAGCTCCATCCCCGCTCTCTCACGGAGCACGTGAAAGTGGGTGACCTCCTTCTGCCCTCAGCACCGACTCCTGCACTGGGACTCCTCCCTCCACACCGCACAGCTTCTCGGCGGGACGATGCGGGACGACGCCTCCACCTCTGCTGACGAGAGACGGTCACGGGACGCTGGCGTAAAGGACCGGGTCCTCTTTGCTCTGGGGCTCCGAGCCTGGACTGAAGAAGTGAGGGGCCCCAGTGGGGGGCCCCCAGCCTGCCTCGAGCACGTGCCTCCAAAACCCTCCGAGCTGCCCTGTCCCTGACCTTTCTGGGGCCTCCCTCGCCAGCTCTCCTGACAGCTTCCCAAGATGTCAGGCGCAGGCATACCCTGGCCGCTGTCGGGTTTCTCTGAGCCCAACATTAAGGTCCACTCTGGGCTCCAGACTGGCCCGAGCCAATTCATCCCCGGTATGCCCAGACTGTGACAAAATTCCTGCTGGTCTGTACCAGTCTGTAGCCGGTCTTCCCAACCTTCACACCCTCCGCATCACTGCAGGAGGACGGGCTGGCCAGTCCCGGCACGGCGAGGCCCAGCAGGCCGTGGGGACTCCAGCTTCGGGCTCACACGACACTCACCGCGCACATCAGAGTCGGCACCCAGGCCTCGGCTGGGGCTGGCAGGAAGAGCACAAGGAGCACAGCTCCCCATAACGCTTCTCCCACTGCGACGCACCTATTCTCCAGCCCGCCCCAGCCGGGTCTCTGTGAGAGTCCTCAGAGCACAAGGGAAGGCTTTGGAATCAAACCCTCCACAGGGAAAGCAAAAGCTGGACATCCCACCGGGGCTTCAGGGGCCATCTGTCCGGCTGAAAGAGAAGGACTGACTTAGATAAAGACACAGTCCAGTCTTAATGAAGAACTAGCTCGGACGGAACACGGCGCAGCTCTTCTCTGGCCTTCATCACGCTTCTTCAGAGCTTTGCTCTGCAGATTCTTGACCAAAGCCGTCGTGTCACTATTTCCCCACAACACTGTTAAGGGGAACCACAACGCGACACGGGCAGGCTCCTCCTCGCGCCCTCGAGCGGAACAAGAACACCCCAGCCTCCAAAAAGGAACACAGCGAGACCATGGCAGTGGAAAGCAGAAGACAGGGCCAGGCCTGACCAGGACAAGAGAAGCCGAGAAGGGATGAGCGGCCATGTAGAGAGGTTCTCAGACTCACTGACAGGGATGGAGCAGAGGCCCAGGCTCCCTGGGCTCCCCAGGCTTCAGGGTTGGCCAAGGCCCAGCCTGTTCAGGCAAGAGGCTTCAGACTGTCCCAGACATCTGTGCCCCTCTGGGGTCTGACTTCAGGCCAGCCTGGGCCCGCCAGCGAGGCTGGCTGGGGCCGGTGAGCCCAGTGCCAGCTCTGGGGAGCCGCGAACATGAAGACCCTCTGCCCCAGGCAGTTGGGTGCGAGGCCTGACATGGCCACGGACTCTCCCCACTGGGCAGATCACAGCCCGGGCCTCCTAACCTGACAAGAACGAAGGGAAGGACCAGCTCCCGGACCCGGTGTCGCCTACTATGGGAAATACCTTGAGGCTGGGGAAAGCAAGGCCGCCTACAGCCACATTCCACCCTCTCCTCCAAGACAGCCTCCAGACTTGAGAGAGAGCTGAGACACCGGCCAGGGAGAGGAGGCAGGCCCGGCCAGGGAAGACGGTCACTATGGCCTGGGAGAACAGGCCACGGGCTGAGTGTGGGCGTGTGGGAAGGGGCTGGGGAACACTGCTCCCGAGGTCAACCGTCTGGGCTGCCTTCCAGCGGCAGCAGCTAATGTTAGAACACTAGGAGGAAGAGCCCACTCCACAGAGGAAAGCAACCAGCAGAGCTGGGGGGAGGGGGGGTGTAAGGGGAACTGAGCAGTCTTCACTGTGTGCATTGTGTAAGCCAGGCCCATGCTGGGTCCAGGCGGGGCCCTCAGCCCTCTCTCTCCCCAGGGCCAGGTGCCGGGAAAGGCAAAACGCTGGGCACTTGTCAGTCCTTTTTTCTGTTTTCCTACATCTCTCTTGGGAACAAGACCAGTCACTTGTCACCAGCATTTCGTTTTTAGAAAAAGAACAAGAGACCTCAGAAGGCAAGAAGGGAGGGGCTCCAGGCTTCCTTGCCCAGTGCGCCCAAGGTCACTGGGTGGCCCACAGTTTGAGACCTTCTCTCTCTCGCTCCAGGGCCTCTGGGGCCTGCTTCCCTAATTCCAAAGTGGGCTGTGACTCATGTTTTCTTTTTTAATATGAAGCCCACCGCCCCCCCTTTCTGTTATCTTCTTAGCCTGATTAGAAAACAAAAGAGAAATGCTTTTCCATGTTCCTGTTGTTATCTTGATGGTATTTACACGAGGATGCCGTTGCCAGTTTAGGAAGCCGAAGCAAAGCCCTGTCCGCTCCTCCCAACCTTGCCTGCAGGGGAGGGCACATTCTAACGTGCCTTCACCCTCCCTTCCGCCTCACGGACGTCAGCACTGGACCGAGATGATCTGGGGTTGTTCTGGGCTGGTCCCTGTGCATGGCCGGGCTGGAAGTCGGCTTCCCTAGACTCTTCTGAGATGAGTTTCCCTTCCCCTGCGAGGGCTGGGAGGCCCAGCGTTGGCAGGCAGGCGCTCCGGCTACGTCTCCTCTAAGAGCAGCTCAGTGGAACTGGGCCCACATGCCCCAGGACCAGCCCCGCGGCGAGCCCCAGCCAGGCGGGCCCCGTGAGGGGACCAGGTTCTGCGGCAGCCGCTGAGGCCAATGGCACAGCTGGAAGCGGGCAGGGACCCTCCCTTGGGACCTCCGGAGGGCCCTCACCCCAGAGGTCGTTCCCTTCTGGCCAACGGTCCTCCCAGTGTATTCTTCAGATCTCAGCAGGAAAGCACCCCCTGCCCTGCGCCCCCACCCGCACAGCAGAAAGCAGAGCGGCTCTTCCCGCACCCTTGGCTGTGAACCTGGGCAGCAGCTGGAGAGGAACTAAAGCAGTGAGGCGCTGGGCAGCAGGAACCGGCGTCCATTCCCTCTACAAACATCCCTGAGCACCCACCGTGCCCCAGGCCCCGGTTTCAGGCCCTGGGCGGGCACTCAGCAACAAGCAAAAGAAACAAAATTCCTTGCCTTTATGAAGCTCGCATTTCAGAGCAGTCATTCAACAAACAAGATAAAAATGTCAGAAAGTGACAGGCGCTGAGAGGGAAGAGAGAGAAGGGGAAGGGCAGGAAAGCGTGGGGGGGGTGGTTCGAGCAGAGCTCAATTTTAGGCTGAGTGAACAAAGAAGAAAGAGAGGGAGGGAAGGAGTCCTGCTGGGGGGAGCGGTCCAGGCCACAGAAGTGCAAAGGCCCTGAGGCAGGCTCGTGCTTGACACGTTGAGTGAGTGTGGCTTGAGCAGAGTGAAGGGAGCAGGGTGAGAGCAGAGAAAGAGCAGCATGGTCACAGAGAGCCACAGTACATGGGCCTTGGGCCTCCTGGTAAGGGCTTTGGCATTTGCTAGGTGGGAGATGGGGAGCCAGCAGAAGGCCGGAGCCGAGGGGAGATGCACCTGCCTTGTGGTCCCTCTGGCTGCTGGTAGAAAACAGGCCAGGCAGCCAGCAGCAGGAGACCAGTTACACCACATTCCCAGACAAGAGAGGGCAGCAGGTGGGACCAGAGCGGCAGCAGTGAGGATGGCGAGAGGGAATCAAATATATTTCCAGATATATATTCAGTGCAAACTGGAAAGGAAGCCATGATGGGCAGAGACCTGACCCATCTCTGCTTGTGGAATTCTGCGAGCCCAGTGGCCGGCACACACACAGTGGTACATAAACGCCTCAGGTCTCGATGGCTTTCCCGCCCTCCTACAAGGGTTGGAGACCCAGCCTGGCCCGTCTGCTCTCGGCCTGACGGCTGCTGTGAGCTTGGGGAGGGAGCCCACAAGGGTGCTGGAGTGGGCTCTCAGGAGGGGCTCACTAGGAGGGGTGCTGGGCAACGTGGCAGAGTCCTGGGGACTTAGCTGTCTGCAAAACTCCTCCTCAGGTTTATTTTTGTCAGAGTGGGACCCTTCCCGCCCCCCTGCAGGGGAGCAGCCCCACTCACTTCTGAGGAATGAGGTCTGGAAGGTTAAGGGACTACCCTGTTCTCAGTCTGAGAAGGCCAGTCTGCCTCTCTGGCCCACCCCATCAGGCCACTTGGTCATAGGACAACTTTGGGAGAAGGCGGTGGAGGGCAGCTGTCACCAAGGCCCACCACCTTGCCCGCCGGATCGCACCTTCTTTCTCCCTCGTCTCCCACCCTTGACATTCCTGAGGCAGCAGCTCTCGCTCTGCACCAGCCTTCCGAAGGGCGGCCTAATCTCACCCCCACTCGGGCACCACCGCCCTTCAGGGAAACTGCCTCCCCTTACCAGGCAGAGGCCACAAGGTATGTCAGCCTCAGCCCGGCAGGGCGGCAGAGCCTCGCGTGGTCTTCACCAGGGTGCCGGCCTTCCCTCCTCGCGCGCCGGGGCCTCCGCCGGCTACTTCTTGCAAGCACGCTGCCGGGCTCTGGCGCACCTCAGCCCGCTGCCCCAGCCTGCCGCATCTCCCAGGGCTCTGCCCTGGCCACTCTGGACTCAGTCTGCTAAGCCCACACGTGCAGTCCACAGCCCCACCTGGACATCAGGCCTCGGAAGAGGTCATCAGGGAAATGAGGCCCACTAGGTCCTTACCAGCTCAGGGTTCAAGGTCCTGCACGCTATGGCGTCGGCTCCCTGGTTGTCGAGGCTTTTACTTAGGATCATCACCATGGTAAGGATCTCAGGCGCTGGGCTCCATCCCAGGGCGGCCACGAGCCATCTTCAGTTGGGCGGACTTGGGCACAGGTGGCCTGCTGGGCACCTCCCAGGGCTGAGGTGGCCTGGCATCAGCAGGAGCAGTTCCCGATCGGCTGCTCACGCTTGGCGAAGGGCTCCTCCAGGAAACGCCCTGAGAAGACAACAGAAAAAGGCAAGGGATTTAGGACTTGGGAAGACCGGGTCCCCGAGAGACCCGGCCGTGTACCCCCATGCTGGGGCCCCGCTCGGAAACAGAACTGCCTCCCTGCTGAAGGAGAGGCATTTGGCTGCAAAGGCCGGGATCCCCTTCTCAGGATCCCCCATGCTGGCCTTGGGGCACCCCTAAAGCCCACGCTCTAGTGGGTACAGCAGTGGGTCTCCGTTCAGCCACATGGCACCTTTAAGACCTAGCTCAGGGTCTGGGTTGGTCACAATCTGCTGTCCCCAGAGTGTACTCAAGTCACATGGCATCTTAAACCCGGCTGGCTTAACAGACAGCTTCAGTATATGCCCGAGGCTGAGGGTCAGACAGACACCAACCCCACGGTCAAAACTGAAGGAACCAGCCCTCAGGCGGCCTCAGGCAGCGAGGTGGCTGCTGTGCTCAACTGAATTATGAACAGGAGCTACTGGAAGAGTCGCAGAGTGGCGGGGGGGGGGGGGGGGTGTCCATTTAAAGGCACATATTTCCCACTGCTGGAAGCGCCACGTTTCAAAACACACATTTGCAAGGCCCCCGGTGTTGCCTCCTTCCGCAGACTGAGCCGAAGCAAGTCACGGCCTTCGCAGAGCCTGCCCACGCCACCCAGAGCTGCCAGCAGTGACAGGACCCCTCGTGGCACCATTCTGCACAGCCCACCAGCGCCTCCTCCCGCGTCACCCCCCCAAGCAAATGCTGAGAGCCGGGCCTTAGCTCAGGCTCGAGAACTCGCTCTCTACACGTTACTTTCTCTGATCCTATTTCCCCAGCCCACCCCTCTGTGGTCACACCTTCAGAGAAAGTCACATGGATGCAAGGAAGCTGAAGATCACCCTCACAAAGTGAAAAATAACAACGAAAAATAGCAGAAAATGGCAGCTCCTAATCTGTAATTAGCAACAAACTGCTCCGTGCAGGAAAATGTTTCAGAATCTGCTGCTCTGTGTAAAAATTGCACCCTGGTATTTACTTGCCGTCCAGATTGTAAATCATATTTTCCTGTTTACTTCGATTAGACTTTACAGTGGGTGTTATTGGAATTGCTCAATTACGGGCCAGCTGGCAAGCACAGGAAAATTACCTTCTACTGTTCTTCGAAAACAAGGTTCATCCAAAGTGCAAGAGCAGGGAAGGGGGGTGGGAATCAATACATTTTCCAAGGATGGGTTGTTCAGGAAGAGACTTGGTGGCATGCAGGCTCCCAGATCACACTGGAGTTTGAACACCACCTCAGTCTAGAAGCAACACATTCTGACCGAGAATGAGCTGCTCAAGGAAAGAATGTCAGACCACTCCTCCCAGCTCAGGCCAGAAAGCCGAGCCAGAAATGCCCGCCAGCCCCCTGGACGCTTGGCTGGGGAGCAGGGTAGGAGGGTGCTACGGACTCGCCCTTCAAAGGGACCCTTTGTGCCGCTTCAGGGGCGGAGGCAAGGCCCACTGGCGGCCATCTTCTTTCTGGGTGCAGCCTCATTCGCTTCTGGAGCAGCCGGCCACTGGCCCGAGGCCCAGGGGGGACCTGCCCTTCCCACCCCCACCCCCCATTTCCATCTTCCCTAACAAGGCAGGACGGCTTGGTGGTTACAAGCTCAGGTCCTGAGTCAAAGACACCTGGGTTGGAATCCCAGCTCTTGAAATGCATTGTCTGAGTGACTTTTACCAAGTTACTTACTCTGTGAGCCTGTTTCTCTCTCCATAACATGGGGACCACAGCGCCTGCTTCGCAAGATTCCTATATCATCTGAAAACAGAGCTCAAGCCCGGTGCTCAGGGAGAAGCCCTAGCTCATCTGAGGAAGCGCTCGATAAATAGTAGCCACTGCCCCCACTTTCATCAGGGAGACTGTAGGTCCCCGTCCGTTCTCAGCAGCGGACGCCCAAGCATCTATCTGTCCTCTTGGATTTTTATTTTAAAGATAAATTTCATCAAATTTTTTTAAAGCTAAATTTCACCAGGATGGAACAGGCCATCTTATGGCCCATCCCTCTGGTGAAACAGTAGGTGGCCAGTAAGAATGATACTGTGGGAGTCCGTCGCCATGGAAACGTGTTAGGCCATCGGGATGAAGCCGATTGGCACCAGACACAAAGCCGGACGGAGGGAGCAGCGTGGGCGGCCCTGCTCTCGCAGCTCCGCCCCTCCGAGAGCCCAGGACCCAGGGCGGCAGCGCGAGGGGTGGATACCGGGGCACTTTAAGCTCCTGGAAACGGGCGGTCAGCAAACATGGCAGGTGCCAAACGGAGAGAGAAGGTCTAGCACAAGCCCTGTCCCCGGGGGTCATGGGGAATTCTGTGGATGCAGGCACAAATCCGATGAAGGCAGGTAGGGCGAGGGGGCACCGCAGCTGAGTTGTGAAGAGAACCCCCTGCACAGGGCCGACAACACACAGCACAACCTACAGGAGCCCAGGAGTGGGGACAACCAAGATGTCATCAACAGGGGGCTGTTTCCATGAAGCACGGCAGAACCATGGAAAGGGACACCACGCCACTTCAGGCACATCGGCAACAAGGCAACTCTGACAGGACAGAAAGAAACGCTCTCCAAGACACACTGCGAGATGAGTACAGCAGGAGGACAGTGTGGTCCCGAAAGCGCGGCCGCCTTATGGAAGCACCTGCCGTTCTGGAGTAGAAGACAGACCGGGGGCGCCTGGGTGGCTCAGTGGGTTAAGCCGCTGCCTTCGGCTCAGGTCATGATCTCAGGGTCCTGGGATCGAGTCCCGCATCGGGCTCTCTGCTCAGCAGGGAGCCTGCTTCCCTTTCTCTCTCTCTCTCTGCCTGCCTCTCCGTCTACTTGTGATCTCTGTCAAATAAATAAATACATAAATAAATAAATAAATAAATAAATAAATAAATAAAAAGACAGACTGGGCAGCTTTTGCAGGCTGCTTGAATACCACACCCAGGACCTACAAGACCTTTTCCATGAAAAAGAAAATAGGCAAAATTTCAACATGCAGGAGAGGCACACGAGCAGAGGGAAGGATGCGACAAAGCATGGGGCCCTGCCCCGTACACGCTGCGTGGGACTCAGGGAGCACCCCAGTGACAGGAGCAGAGGGTGTGTGGACAGGTGGCAGCACGGGGACAAGGAGCTGGGAAGACAGATTCAAACCAGACCAACAGCTCGCAATGCTGACCGAGTGTAGACTTTACCACGTGGCCACAGGCAGCTCCCCAAGGGGCTGGGCTACTTCGACCTGTCGAGGAAGAGTGATTCTAGGGGGTCCTTTGCAACGCCCAGCACAGTGCCCTGAACACAGCACGAGCCCAATACACGTTTTGGAATGAAGCTAAATCACAGCAACATCTGAAATGATCCAGGCACATTCTCAGACCTTGTGAGGCAAATCCAGACCAGCAGAGCCTGGCACAATCTGGAATTCCCTGGGATTCCTTTGATCCGTGGCATGGGCCTGGCCAAGTTCACTAAGGAATGCCAATTCCCGTCCAGAGACTTAGAGTTGAGTCTGAGGATGGGGCCAGGGACGGCTCAGGGAAAAGCTGGGAGTGAAGCTGGGCTGGGGGCCGGGGGGTGAGGGGAGACTGGTTCCACCTTTGAAGGAACAACTGGGAGCAAGGCTCTGGCCCAGGTAGAAGAAAGTGCCCCAGAGCCGCAGGTGGCATGATGAAGGCCTCCTGCAGGCCACCTCTGGGCACGGACCGCACTCTGGCCTGGTGACTGACAGTGACTTTCCTGAGGGCTTGAGCCAGCCATGCCTCAGCACTCCCTCCCCCTCCCATGAATCAAAGGAAATGGAAGGGAAGCAGCCCCCTTCGGCAAGGTCTTCAGAAAGGCCGCATGCATTTTTAGACTTGCCTCACTTCAGCCATCCGTGTGGCAAATGCTGTCTGGGGACAGGACCTAGAGCAAATTTAGGGACACGCCGCGAAGTGCACCTTTGAATGGGCCGTGCCTTCTGCCAGCGACAAACTGTTAGAAGGGTGGCCAGGGGAGCCGAATCCTGGGGGGGGGGGGGGGGGGGGGGGGAATCAAGGCTCCTAGCTGTCCCACAAAGGGAACCAAACCATTCGGCTTGCGGACTCTATAGCTACGTGCCCAGAGTTTGAAGGAAGAACATTAAAATATACGGGAACCTCACCAGAGCCCTTCCTTTTCCAGACCCAGTTAGTGTCAGGAAAAGGGCCCAGAGGCTCAGTAAAGGGACCTGGTGCTGGAATGTGTGGGCTCCAGAGAGACAGTTCAGTGATGTCCCTTGGCCCAGGTGCCCAGGACTTCCAGCCTCCGGAAGGGTCAGTGAGGAGAGACAGCTGTGCCTCCACCACCTTCAACACACAGAAAACCAGAGACAAACGGCCTCTTCAGTAGATACAGTAACACCCTAGACGCAAGGAACACCAAACCCTGTCAATCTGAGGGGATTCCACGGGAGAGACAGAATCCAGGGAGAAACTGCATTTTGTTTTCACCATTTGCCTAATATCTCCTTGGTCTGTATTTGCGGAACTAAGTGTGAAGCAGAGTCTACCTTTCCGCAGAGCATGAATAAAATAAGACCCACGGCAGCCTTGCTGGATTCTCAGCTTAGTGCATCCACGGAGTCCCTGCGCGTGGGCCCTATTGCTATTCCATTCTACAGAGCGACAAACTGAGGCACAGGCCCTAGGTCACACAGCTGTGAGGGACAGCACAAGGACTCGGGCCACATCTGCTGAACTCCAAAACCTTTGTCTTGACCCTGACTCTTCTACTCCAGGATCTGTGCATTTCATCGTAATGACCCTTCACGTATTTCTCAATTAAACTGACCAAATGTGGAAGCAGAGACACGAGGTCTGTAGCAGTCCTCATCTCCACAGCTCATCCTGAGGTATCCCAGGCCAAGCACCAAACCTTCCGGAACCTACTGCTGAGACACAGCACTAGGGTTCCATGGCTGGCAAGGGTGCAGGGAGGCAAGAGGGCGTCAGTGCCGTCTATCCTAACAGCAT